CGAATTTATTGGTTGTTGTTTTTTTTGATGAGGGTAGCTTTCTTCATAGATGGTGGGAACGTGGTAAACATAATATATCTTGACTTCAGCAAAGTGAAGAAAAAAAGAGAATTTGGGGAGTTTTGTTAATGTGCCCAGGTTGAACCCCCCTGCTGTAAAGTTATCGTTTTAAAAAACTAGGAGAAGCCGTGCCAAAGGATGCCAATCCCCAGGGGTCTCCTACATCACAAGGATGGCGAACCCGCTGGGTCACGCCATCCTCACGGGATGTTTCACGGCGGTTTTCCCCTTGGCGGAGCTGGGGTGGGCGCGGCGCAGGCGACCCGCGTGAGGTTCTATGCGTTGAGGATATCCGAGCTTGGCAGTTTTAAGACTTGTGGACTTCGACTCCCAGAATTCCCCAGCTGGCAGGGGGTTTCCCCAGAATTCAGCAGGGATAGGAGAAGACCCAACGCAGCCGGACTGTTTATCCCATTTTCAGTACAGTCACTTTCTTAATAGAAAGTGGGAATGTGGTTGACATAATATATCTTGGCTTTGGCAAAGTGGGGAATGGGGGGGAAGAGCCGGCTGGGGAATTCTGGGAGTCCACAAGCCTTTAAAGTTGCAAGGTTGGAGACCCCTGGTTTTTGCAGTCTGCTCTTCATTGAAGCCAGTGGGGGACTCGATGGCCCCCTTCGTTTAGAGCAATCTCCCCCACCCCAGTGGAAGTGGGGCATTGAAGCAGCATGGCATTTCTTTGGTCCTGCCTTGGCTCGCGTGGGGAGGGGGCTCCAGGGTCCCTTGCAGGGAGCTCCAGGGTCCTGTCTTCATGCAGGGGGTAGGTGACCCCCTCCTCTCGCCCCTCCAGGGGAACCTGGACCAGGAGCGCCTGAAGAAGCAGCAGGAACTGGCGGCCGCCGCCATCTACCAACAGCTCCAGCAACAGCAGCTGCTTCAGCTCGTCAACAGGTAGCCCTCTCCACCCCCACCCCAGGGAGAAAGTGCACCCCGGGGCTGCCCCAGGTGGGCCAGGGGGAGGGAGCAGAGGAGCCTGCAGCAAGCGTGGGGGTCTTTCTGGGGGGGGGGAAATGTGGCCTGTGGGGCCCCCGCCTGGCTACTCTTGCCTTGCTCTTCCAGCCGGCAATACTCCCAGTGTGCCGCCCAGCAGAAGGTGGCGTCGGGGGATCTGAGCACCTTCCTCCAGCAGCTGCAGGCTCTCAAGCCCAGGTGAGGCCCCTGCAGCCCCCTCCCCAGGTGGACTCCCTGTAGGGCCTCTAATCGGTGGTGGTGGGGGGCTTTCCTCTGAGGAGGAGTTGCAATTGAGGGACAGGGAAGCAGGTCTGCCGTACCTGCGGGGAGGGGGGGCGACATTTGGGGGGGGCCTGGGCAGCTTTTATCCCTCCCGCCTTCTCGCTTCTCTTCCAGAGCCGGGGAGCAGGGCATGATCCCCTCCATGAACCGATCCATATCTGTGCCAGACACTGGGTCCCTCTGGGACACACATACCTCAGCCTCATCGCAAGCAGGTCGCTGACGGGCGGGGGGGGAAGGGAAACCTGCTTGACCGGGGGAGGGGGGGTTGCGTCCTGGGATCCCCAAATGGTCACAGCTGGAGTCCCTCGCCTGGACCAGCAGGGCCGGGAGACGGAGGAAAGGAAGGCTGCTGGGCTTTGGGGTCCTCTCTGGGTAGGACCCCCGTGGGGGTGGGGGGGCAGAGCCCTTGTAACCGGCCCTTCTAGAGGGGAAGACGTGGGCAGAGGGAGGAAGTGGGGCTCAGGATGAAAGCTCTTTCGTTCTCTCTTGTTCTCTCTCTCTCATTCTCTCTTGTTCTCTCTCT